CCTCCTTTAGCGCTGTCTCCAGCGCCTTCACCCGTTCCATTGTCGTGCGCAGACGCTTCTCCAGCTTGGGCAGCTCACAGCGCAGGTCGGCGTTGTCGCGTACCAGCTGTTTGTGCACCTTCGTCAACTGATCGAGGTTGTTCTCCAGGAAGGAGATCTTCTGTTTCTGTGCCAGAGATCCACCATCCTCCTCGCTCTCCTCGTTGACGACATTCTTTCGGATTCGTTGCTGAAATAAAAAGATTGTTGGAAAGGTCAGAAGAGAGAAGCCATAAGGATATAATTTCGGATTTACCTGTAAATCTTGAACAAAGAGCTTGCGGAGATTGTGCAGCGTTTGCAGTTCCTTGGCCACGGTGTCTTCGAGGCCTTTGAGGTCCTTGCGCGCCTGCTCCCGTCGCTCGCTGGTGAGAATCATGTTCTGCAGTTCGTTGGATTTCTGGGCCTCGTCCTGCTTGACCTTCTCGTAGTCGGCGGTCATCTGCTGGTGGGCCAGCAGCAGCTTCTGGTGCACATCCTTCATCTCGTTCATTTCATGCTGCTTGGCGGAGATCTCGTCCCGAAGCTCGGACACCTGCTTGGTGTGCGCCTCGCGCAGCTCGTCCATTTGCGAGTCGAACATGGAGCGCAGCTCCTCGGCGCGCTGCTTCTCCTCGGCATTGACGGCGGACACGTGCTCGGCCGCCTTCAGCTTGGCGCACTCCTCGCGCAGCGAATCGATCTGCTCCTCGAGTGTACGCTTCTTGTTCTCCGCCTCCCGCATCGACTCCTGCAGCGACTTCATGCGCGCCTCGTGCTGCGAGATGAGCAGACGGTACTCGCCCAGATCCTTCTCGTACTCGAATATCTTCTTGTTGGAGTCCGACTGCTGCGACTCCATGTTGGCGCAGCGCTGAGCAATGTTTTTCGCCTCAGTCTTCATCTTGCTGATGTACAGGCGGGCCATGGTGAAGTCCTCCTCCACTTTGGTGGCATCTGTGCCGGCCAGGGTGCTCATCTTTAGATCGATGGCCGAGTCACCGGGGGCAATGGCCTGGCCCACCTCACCGAGATCGCGCAGCAGGTTGGTCAGCATCTCCGTGATGCGCTTCTTCTGGTGCGAAGACATGTCCTTCAGCTGCTGCAACTCCGTGGAGGTGGCACTGAACACACTCTGCTTCTGCTGCAGCTCTTCGTTGAGGGCATCGATGTCCTTGTTCTTGTTGTCGATCTCCTGCGACTTCTGATCATAGTTGACAGCCAGCTCCTCGAGGGCCTGCAGCACTTCCTTGACCTCTTCCTTGGCAGACTCATTCTCCTGCTGAATGCGTGCCATCTCCGACTGCAGAGCCTCATACTCCCGCCGGGCATTGGCTATCAGCTCCTCCTGCTCCATGACCTGCTCCTTCATCTGCTCGGCATACTGGCTCTGCTGGTTAATCTCCTCATCCTTGTCATCCAGCTGCTGGTACAGACGCTCGCACTCTGTGGCCAGGCGGGCCCGCTCGTCGGCAGCCACCGACGCGGACATATTGGCCAGGGCCGTCCTCTGAGCGGCACTGGCTGCTTCCGCGGCCTTCTGCTGTGCTGCCTCCACCTCCAGGTTGGGCGTGCTGGCCTCCATGAGATCTTCCATGTTGATTTGCTCCTCCGCCTTGACCGTCTCTCCCGCCCGCCAACGGGCCAGCTCTATTTCCAGCTTCTCCACCTTGCCCTTGAGGCGACCGTTCTTCTCCTTCTCCTTTTCGTAACGCCGCTTCCACTCTTCGGCAGTGAGCTCCTCGTTCACGCAGACCACATTCTTCACAGTCTTGGCGCGTCGACCAAAGTCCAGAGTGGACTTCGTCTCAGACTCGTTGAAGCTCGCCGGAGAGCAGCAGATGACAATGGTTGTGCGAGCGTTGCCTCCCAGCGACTCCTGCAGGATGCGCGTCAGCTTCGAGTCACGATAGGGTATGTGCGTTTTGTTGCCATCTGCCAGGGCAGAGATCACATTGCCCAGCGCCGACAGCGACTTGTTGATGTTCTTCGCCTCATCGAGCACCGTTCCCTCCGCTCCTGTCTTGGAAACCTTCTCGGAACCAGCCAAATCGACCAGATATAGTTTACCCGACAGTTTCTTCTGGTTCTCCAGATTCTCCTGCTTCACATTGATCAGAAATACTGAGTGGGATCGAGAGGAGTGCTCGTTCATGTCTGTACAGGAAAGATCGTTTTAGAATTGGGAGACCACTAGAACGTCCATTTCGACCACTCACTTGTTACGGCAATGTGACGATTCGATTTGCCCTCCTCGATCACCTCGAACACCTCCTCTGGCGAGGAGACGAAACGCTCCGTGGCACCCTTCACATAGGGCACTCGATTCTTGTCCTCGTGCACGCTCAGGTTCACCTTGGACACGTCCAGCAGATCCCGAATCTTGTCCATATAGATCTCATAGTATGATACCTTTATGTGGAACTCCAGATTCACCTCCATGGCGTAGATGTGATTGAAGATATCATTGACAATGCGTGGAATAATGCCCTGCTTCGCCGAATCGCCAATGACGCCCTCCATTGTGTGCGTCTTACCGGACGAGGTCTGGCCATAGGCGAATATCGTTCCATTGTAGCCGGCCAGGACATCCGTGACAATGGACTTGGCCGCCTCATTGTAAACCTTCTCCTGGGAAGCATTCGGCTTGAAGACTTTGTCGAATAGGTAGACTTTGCCCTGAAAAAGGTATGTACATGTAGTTGTTGTGTGAGCGAATAGGTATTTCCCCTCCAAAATTTCTCAACGATCTTCAGCTTTTACCCAACTTTTACCCCCCCTGTGGCCCGGTAGCTTTCAAATCATTTTTGAACGCATTGCCGCGAAACGGATTGTAATTATGAGCATTAGAAAAAGAAAGAGAGGAGCGGAGCTGGGACGGAGATGGGCTGGGAGGAAGGCAGTAATGAATAACGAGCAGCAAAAGAAAGAGCGAACGAGAAGCGTTAGTAATGATAAATACATGCATACACATGTACTTCCATGTATGTGTATGTAATAGAGCTGCCTTCCATGGTGCCACTAAAAAACTAGTTCGCTCATGAGAGGCTATACAAATAGATGGTAAGACATTTTAGCAAGACCTAAAATTTGTAAAAAGGTTCGTCTATGTTACGGTAAGTTCATCGTTGTTTACACTAAACATACATATGTGTTTTCATATAACGGCTAATAAACAGTGAACAGAACTAGTTCTCTGGTGGCAGCATAACTGGTAATTGAAACTATTGTTGTTGCTAAACCAATTTCTGGGAAAATGTTCGTTTACAGGTGGAGTTATGGTGAAAATTCAGTGGTTCCACAATGCATACATATATTATTTATGAGCGCCAAAAACCAGCAAATTCCATTGCCCTATGTTCCTTTTTATGTGGTTTGCGTGCATGAGTCACTGTTGCTGCTGCTGCTGGTAGAGTGGAGTGGAGTGGCGGCAGCTGGTGGCAATGGGAGGGCACACATACACACACACACACACACACACAATAAAGACACAGGGGGCAGGTAAACTGTAAGTGAGGTAAGCATAGAAGGCGGACTAGATGGAACTCTAGACGGCGAGCCGCTGCTGCAGAGAAGGTTAGCAATGCAAATTTCTGTGGATTGGGACACAAGTGGAACTCAACTTGTGGGTGGGGACGGACTGCCTTGCTTTCGGCTTTTCTTCTTTGACGTTCCCTAAAACACACATACACACACTCACACACACCCCGTTTCACTCTCCCTCTTCCTTAAACTCTCTCTCTTTTGTTTTTCTGTCTTTGGGCGGAAAATCAATTTGTTGCAAAATATACTATTGATCTGAAGTAATTTCGGATTTCTTATGGTTTTCCGCCTGTGGGCATTCGCTCGAGACACGCTCACTGGAAGTGGAATACACAAGTTTAGCGCTAATTAACCAAACTGCTCCAATTGGTCGACGGTACAGGCACTGGCACTGCTGCTGCTTGGGAAGGGTAATGTACGCTCCCGTACGGTCTAATGTTAGGCATGACGTCATGGGCCGTGACAGCACGCAGAGATTAATGCATAACACACAAAGTAAAGGGAAATGTGTGTGCGTGGAGGCGGCACTGACGGTGGACAACTGGATCGCTCTGACTATGTGCAACACTTACCGCAATGGATATGCAGTTCTCCTCGACATTGTTGGGGAATTTGACGACAAACTTGGAACCGGCCTTCTCCTCACTGTCGTTGAGCGGGCGGAAGCGGCAGACAACTTTGATGCTGTCCTCAGCGGGAATTTCGCGCTCCGCGGACATCTTCGTAGCACTCTCTCGCTCTCTTCTCTGATCTGGCACCGTCTCGCGGAACTGCGGCTATAGTTAATCTTCGATCAAACTTTATCTTTTAGCATGCAGCTGTTTACGTGGTAATTGTTTGTCGTTTTATGTTTCGGTGTTGGGGTCTCGCTTGGAACTAGCATAAATAAAATTGGACTAACAGCAATGGTAGTGACAAACCCCACACTGGCAATCTGGTATCTGATTGGTGGTTCTAAATGGTCGGGCTCGCGAAAATTGGGCTCAAATGCAAAGAAAATTTTGTGGTTATACCAGACGAACAGTTCGCGGATGAATTGCAGCGGCGGTGTTTTGATTAAGCTCGATTGATTTTACGGCTCTGGTTGTTTGCACTAGCCCGGAATGATTAGGTGCAGCTGGTAAATGCACTCGCATGCGTTGAGTGTGTTGGAGTTTGTTGCAATATCAATTTTATTTTCTTTTCCTATTTTCGCTTATTTCTTGCCCCCAAACCAGTGTGACTGCGGATTTGTTGATCAAATATACCGCATGACCCTCAAAAATATACCGAAATATGCCGCCATTGATGTCAATTCACCGATGGAAAAAAACCGCGTAAACCAGCAGTGGAAAGTCGCAGAAACGTAATATACAAATTAACCAATAAAGAAAGTCCAGTGCAGGAAGAGGCGGAGAATGAGATTCCTTGAAAATCCTTTCAGCTTTTAAAACTTCATCTAAATCCAAACTCAGAGTTGTGTTGTTTGTTCTTATTTTTTTAGTCACCATGGTACTTTGGTTCTAGTCGCGGAGGGGTTTTGAAAGCTAACGGGTCTTGAAGGCAAAATGGCCTCGAAGGACAGCATGATCACAGAAAACATGAAAAATGAGCGCCAAATTAACAACGAGGCCACTGCAAAGCGGCTGATTCGGTTGTACCGCGCCAACCAATGCCTCTGGAATCACAAGTCACCGGGATACCATTGCATGCCCCTTAAGCATAGCGCCTGGGACCGCATCACGCGTATTCTGAACAATGGTCTCACGCCGGATCAGGTGAAGCTGCAGGTGCTCTCCCTGCGCACCTACTACGACATGGAGAGCCAGGCCATCAAGCGTAGCAAGCGGGAGGGATTCCACTATGTGCCCTGTCGCTCGATATTCAATGACCTCCAGTTCCTAGCCGACCAGGAACCGTGCGAGGCAGAGCAGGTGAGCAAATGGCACGATCCAAAAAGCAAATAGAAATCACTGTTAATAATCACAATAACAGTCCAAGTCTAGACCTAGCGTCCGCGATGACCAAGTGCAGTGCATTATTGATGATGTTACGGAAATGATGAACAAGGACTGCGCGGAATGCAGGCACAGCCTACGAGTTGACTTTAACATACCCATCGGCGAGAGATCCGGTAAGTCCATCCAGACCCTTGTTCCATGCAGTTTCCATCGCACATCTCACTTGCATTGCAGCTTCTTCAAACATGAGCTTCGTGGACAAAGAGTTGGACAACTCATCCGTGTACGACTCGGACCTCGAGACGCTGCCAACTACACTGCCACGTGCCACTTCCGGAGCTGATCGTTATCATCACCAGAAAGATGAAGAGGAATCCAGCGACTACTCGTATCACCATCAATTAAGGCAACAGGCCTTTCAATGCAGAAGCGCTGGGGAAGCAGGATACCATAGATATTCGAGACCCACAGAAAACTACAGCCACAGTTGCCATTACGGGCACAGGATCCAACACACCACTTATGTCTCTGTGGATGATGAAGCGTCTGCGTCCGCTGGCAGAGCACCGAAGCGGCAACTGCAAGTGCATGCACCTAGACCCAGATCCGGCATGGAGGCCGGCAGCAACTATGACTGTCAACACTCCAGAGACAGTCCCTTCTGCCGTCGAACTCCCAGCGAGGAGGCGTGCAATGTTCTCTTGCTCAAGTTTAATCCACGAAATGCCAAAAACAACAAAGTCATCTGTGCCAATCGTCCTGCCAACTACAGGGAACCAGCTACATACAACGCCAGCGAACAGGAACTTCAGTCAGCTGAAACTCCAGTGTACGAGGACAGCGAGCACAGAGCTCTGCCAGCGGACGAGCATGCGGACTGCAGATATAACCCAACTGCTCATTATACTCAGAACCCACCGCAAAATGAGCAGGCGGAATGCTTTTATTATCCGGAAGGGGCAGACCCATACGAATATCTCGAATGCTACTGTCCGCCAGATCAGGAAATGTCAGCTGCAGATCAGTTGTATCATCAGGAAGACGATGCCAACGAGGAGCTGCCAGTCCCACGACGTCCTCAGTCGCAGTTTTATGAATGCGGAAACACTGCTCCAGTTGCCTACAGATCTCGTCAGTGTGCCCGCCCGAGGGAAGAGTTCAATCCTAATCGCTTCGAACGCATGCCGCAAACACACCCGCAATATGTTCTAGGCTCTTGCTCAAAAGATACCACCACCATGACCGTTCCGAAAGTGGAAAGTTGGGACTCCCGCAACTCGGGGCCAGATTCCTATGTGGCCCAACAGTGCGCTGCAGTTGCTGAGAAAATTATGAAGGATTATCGTATCCGCAACTTCAAGTGCCCGCATCAGAAGCATTCAAATAATGATCGAGATTATTGCGACGAGCCAGTGGCCAGGCCACCGCAAAGACATTACCAAACCGAAGATGGGGAGTATGTAGAGTGTCCTGGCCGCAGAAAAGAAGTGGAGCGCGAGGCTTCACCTGCAAGGCACAGGGCGAGTACTTCCTCGAAGGTGCCCAAGGCGAGAGAGTACAAATTTCCGCAGCAATATTTCTTGGCTAGTTTAAAATCAGATAACAGCGACCAAGGGGGGAAGACTCCCAATCAATACTCCGAAAAATGCACACAAGACAGGTATGAGTACGATGACCGAGAATGTGTTAAGGATTGCCCGAGAATCTCAAGGACTAAGGATTGTAGAGGCGATAAGTTTCCATCAACCTGTTTGTCAGCGCTCAATGATTACAACAGTGAAGAGGATGGCCAGGATAAGTATTACCAAAAAACGAGTCCAGCATCATCGCCGTATGAAGATTACGAAGCGGATGACGAGCAAAGTCCAAAACAGTTTTCCCAACTGAGATCGAGTCAGCGAGAGGAATCTGCGCGGAGTCCACCACAAACCCCAAGAAGACGCGATCCACACCCTTCTCATAGATATGAGGAATGCAATGATGATACGTGTCCGTCTCCGAACCGAATTGTAACGGAAGTGGCGCCAAGACAGTGTCTGAGGAGAACCTCAGACAGAGGCCAGTACAGTGAGCCTTTAGCCTCACAGCAGCAGCGCAGGCGATCTGACGAAGTCAACGGTCTACAGACTTATCCCGAAGAGTGCTGCCCTTCTTCGAAACGCAAACAGCAACAAAAAGTCCGCAACAACGGTCATGTTGAATATCTCGAGTGTCCGAAACGTGGGCTCAGGCCACGCTCAGATAATGCAGAACATGAGGATCCACGTAACATGGAGGCCACCGAGGAGCCATCCATGGGCAATATATCCCCGCCGAACAGCCCAAACGACAGTCAGAGGCTATCAGAACCGAATTCAAATCGAATGTATATAAGCCAGGAAGAGTTAAGGGACGAAGACGATGATGGGTGCCGCTGCGAGTTAGAGCCTATGGTTCCAGAGAGTACCTCACCCACAAGGAGTATGCAAAACGATCGTCCTGATGGGCAAATGGCTTCAGAAATATCGCCAGAAATTGATCCAGAGATTGTCGATAGCCGAGAGGACAGCCAGGCAGAGCCAACAGCTCCGGAGATTGCCTCATCCAAGAAAAATAGAAGTCACGATTTTCTACGGATTCCGTCTTCAAAAAGAAACAGCCGAGATTACCAACCAAAGGAGCCAAGTCCAATACAGACTCCCCAGCGAGAATTGCACCACCAAGAGGACCCTGTGGAGAATCCAACACACTCCCAAGAATTTGAGGAATTGATCTCTTGTAATGATGGCACGTGTGCATATGCAAACCTAAATGTTCCAGAGACTACCTCATCGATGGGTAATAATCAAGAGGAAAGCCAGCTCAGACCAACACCGACTCAAACGGAAATATATCGTGACCAAGAAAAGCAAATGGATCTTCTCGAAATTGCTGAGTGCGTCTGTGAGGATGAGCCCATTGATCCAGAGAGTACCGCAGCTGAGAGGACTGGACAAAATGATGGCCAGGAAGAGCCAACAGGTCCAGAGATTGCCTCATCGAAGAGAGACAGTCGTCAGGAGGAACCCAGTGCTCCAGGGATTTTGTCATCAAAGAGAAGGAGCCGAGACGATCGCAGAGAAAAGCGAACTGCTCCATCATCAAAGAGAGCAAGCCGAAATAGTCGTCGCAATGAGCCAATTCTCGATTATGTTGATGAATGCCGCTGTGAGGTTGAGTTGAATGTTCCACAGAATACTTCAAATAAAAGTAGAAGGCGAAACGACCATCCTGATGACCGCATGCTTCAAAAAAATGCACAAGAAAAGCGAATCAGCCGTCAGGAAGAGCACAGGGCACCAGAGATTACCGCATCCCAGAGAAGTCCTACTCACAGCCAGGAAGAGCCAATAGCTCAAAACCATAAGAACGCCAGGGCATTGACATTGCCGGCGGGAGGAAAGTCTCCGCGGAGCCACTCCGCTGCAGCTCGATCCATTGCGCTGCCAAAGTCGAGGCTCAGAGCTAACTCCAACCCGGAAGAAGCGGCCAAGAAGGCCATTCCGGCGAGAAGTAGCAATAGTCCATGTGGCAGGCCCAATTGCCTAATCAGCGGTAAGAGATCCATGAAACACGCCGACTCTGAAGGTGGCCAACGTAGACCCTTTGACTTACGCATGGCTTCATACTACATTTGCCAATTACAGGATGAAGATGAAGCGAATCAGTATCTGATTATCGTGCCCGAAGCAAAGCTTCGTAGGATAAGTCCACACAGAGACTGCCCAAGGCAAGAGCCTGCGAAGAGGAAGCCCTGCACCCCGCGGCAGTGCTCCGGCTTCGAGACTTTGTCCTGGGCCAGTTCAAAGCCTGCACCACAGTCATATCCGAGGAAAGCGGAGGGTCTCTCCGCTCTTGGCTCCTATCTGGTGCCACCAGTCGCCGCAGAGAACACCTTGAGCATTCTCAAGCAGCACACGCCCAAAGAATTGATTCAGAAGATCCCGAAAAGCAGCAGCAGCAATAAATCGGACAAGCCACCTCCCAAGATGCTACGTAAGCCGAAAACCAAGCCGATGACATCAATGGCCACCACCCAAACACCCAGTCATCGGCCAGTCCATGAGGCAAACTCAATCTTGGCGGAGAATCGAACCGTGCTGCTCACCAATAATCCGGACCCAAAGTCCAATCAAGAGGTAATCGTTCTGCACCCGCCCGTCGTGGGCTTTCGACCCTCCAAAAGCTCACTCGGCCTGGATGATGTGCAGATGCAGTACGTCAAAGTTCAGCACAGCCAGCCGTATGTCAGCCCGAAGCTGATCTGAAACAGTGACTCCCAGAGGTTGAATTCCATGGCATAAACACCTTTGCCGTTGCTGTTTTTTCTTCACACATGGTTCTCTGCCCCAGCCAATGTACCAGAGTATTCAGAATAGTAAAGAACAGCAACCAACCGAAGCCGCAGGACTCAGCTGCTTTTTATTTAATGAGATCCTTGCTCGGGCGTCGAAAATAGCGACTCGCGAGGGTGTCACGCTTCACAGCAAAAGCGCGGTGGCGGCGGACTCCGATGTGAAATGGGGACCACCACTCATTGTTTTCCTATCAATGAACTTTTCAGTAATTAATTTATGAGCTTCGTCGGATCCATTGAGGCGTAACGAACGATCTGCTGGCCAATTGATTCCACAAGCAACTTATTGGTTTCCGTTTTTATTTGGTTTTTAAACTAAATTTAGAGTTAGAGAGGGGATAATCACAAATGCTTAAATCTAACAGCGAGTATAGCTTAGTGGCTCAAGTGGAAGCTGCACTCGCTTCCGCTTCCATTGCTGCTTCCAAAAAGTGTGTAGGCGGCCGCATCCACATCCATGTCGCCGTTGTTGAGGAGATCGCACAGGGCCAGAATGTAGGATTGGGCCATCTGTAGGGTTTCGAACTTGGACAGCTTCTGGTCGATGGACGGGGCTGGGACCACCTCCCGCAAACGGTCGAAGGCCTCGTTGAGGCCATTCATGCGCTTTCTTTCCCGAGCATTGGCAGCCTGTCGTCGTTTCTTCTGCACCGTGGGACTAAGAATGATCGTCTCTTGGCCCTCCGATCTGATGGAGCCATCGCTCTTGCGCCTCTTGGACTGCTCCACGCCCTGCTCTGTACACATCTCAAGGTCAACGGAGTGGGTGGCCGTGGGCAGCTCAAGGCCAGCTTCAGCTCCGCCTGCTACATCCAGAAACTGCCAGTCGGGAGAGAGGAATGCGGCATGGCTGTACTCCTGCGTGGAGCTTGCCATTGGCGTCAGGTTGTAGTTGGGGCTGCCCAAGTACTGGGAGCTGTTGTTGTCCTCCTCAGATGAGTAGTAGTAGCTCATGGCTCGGGGTACTGCACGGCTCGAAAGTTTCACCGCAACTGCCGCGCGTCTTCTGCTGCTACCGCATGGAACAGCACGAGCCGTCAGATCGGGCAACACTCGAAAGGGATGGGACGGGATGGCTTTACAAATATTTTTACCGCTGCGCTGACCAAGTTTGTGTAAATGGCCCGCAAATGACCCCTTGCCCCTCTCGCAGGATCCTCAAAGCCATTACCATATCCAAAGGATCGTCAGCAGGGGCGGCTCCTCTCTGTCGACGTCTCTGCCGCTGCCCTTGCCGCTGCCTCAGTTAGGGGTTAGAAATACGCTCGCTCTTTCGCTCCCTTACGCACGCCTACACTTTGTGTTCTCGTTCGACTTTTCGTTCACTCTTTGCGCTGCACCGCTCTGGCACGCGTCATAGCTTGCCAAATTGGCGCTATCATGGCATATGATCTTCCTCTCTTTTCTCTTTTTTGTAATTTGTGACTTTCACGCTCAACAGCACACACCAGCCAGGGAGGGCTGGGAAGAACTTGGGCGAGGATGAGCCACTGGCTGGCCTGGGCCTGGCCCATCAATTAACTCGCCGCTTGAGCTGAATTCTGGCTCGTGTCTAGTGACCATATGTTGCACTGAGCCCAGAGGCCCAACTCCAGGCCACAGGCACAGCCATATGGTCAAGGCTCAAAGTGTTGACTGCAGGGCTAATACTGCTGCCAGTAGCAGTCCTTGGAGAGTACAATGAATCCATTTCAGACACGACATTTGTTGTCTCGCCAGTTCTTGGATTGAATATCCCATTAAATATCTATCAAATAAATATCCCTACTTAGAAATGTGTGTGCGTGTGTATGCCTGTGTGTATTGGTGTATTTATCCCGGAAATATCCCATTTTACCTTTGGAATGCATTTTCAGTACTTAAGACATGAGTGCAAAAGAGATAGATAGCTGCAGAAGCTGCTAGAACTGCATGTGCCGTGAACATGTTTGCGCATGCACCGTCCCTTTGCCGTATTTCCCACACCCACGCTCTCGCTGACACTCTCTCTCTCTAAGTGTATAAGGTGAGGCGTGCTTATGATGACATTCTCTCGCCCGCACATCATGTGTGTCTACGCCTGCATAAAGAGGAGAGCCTAACGGGAATCTCCTCACCCTATATTTACAAACTTTGCGTTCGCTCTCATTGAGCCGACAAAGTCTTTCGTGTGCAACAGGGCAGGATATAACTGGACCATAGCCTGCATAGCATTGCCATTCCCGAAATCTGTCTGCATACATAAACACTTCTACATATACTCCCACAGGCGAGTCGAACTGCACGCTGCACAAACTATTTGGCTAAAAAAGTGCAACAGAAAAGTGGTCGCAAAATGTGTGTCTATTTGGGAGCCACAGACGATCTGATGGAGATAACTTTCTTCGTTCTGTGCCGTGTCCTGGAGCTATCCCTGTTCACCTGCATGATGATTTGCAACGCGATCAAATCCAAGTGGAACAACACCAAGGCCATCGAGATGGCGGAGCCCTGACCCAGTGGATGGCAGCATTACTGCATCAATGCGGAGCCCCATGCAAATTCAATGGTGTGAATGCTTCTTCATGAGTGTATCTGAAAGTTAACTTAGCAATGCAAATATCCCTAGGAATAAGCATAAATGTACGTATGTGGGTGTGTAAATGTTCTTAGATGCAACCTTGAATTTACAAATTAAGCATTAGTAATTAAATGTACGTAGGTAAAACCCAATAAATAATTATTATAATTGTGATTTGATTTTAGCATTAATTAAAATCTATTTTTTGGCAATATGTGGCAACTCTTCGCTTACAGCTTTGGGCTGGAGAAAATGTGACCAAGCTCTCCACATAGAGTAGGCCATGACAGCACATGACAGTTGTGTCTTGATTTGGTATTCATAATTGTAGCATTGACATTCTAGTACAACGTTTCACTAAAAATTTCTCACAACTATGGAAAAAATGGAAATAGACGAAGGTGAAACTGAATTTCGAGTGCCCAGCGCCATGGAGGAAACACCAGCAATCACAGTTCCAGAAGAAGACTGCGAAATGGCAGAGCCGGCTATCTACGATTATATGAAATATCCGACAAAGAAGAACAAGTTTGTGGCTAAAGTCAGCTTTAAGGATGTCGTCGAAATGGTGACAATCGCCACAAACGGCAATGTTAACGTCAAGCAGGTTGCTCTGCTCACCGAAGAGGAGCAGGTAATACTAGTAATTATTCAATGCTTTCTACTAATCATTTGTCATGGTTTTCCCAGTCCACAAATATCATGAAGTATCGCAAAATGTAGCCGAAGAGGAGTAGTACGAAATTCGCCTGTCATCATATACCTGGATTCTGTTTCTACTACTTAAAGATCAGATAACTGACTAAAAGACTGCTGTTTAATTCATTAAATTTTAGTGAATATAATTTACTTTTTCTGTGCACTCTCCCCTAAAGCACTGCACCGCAACTTGTTCATAATATTGCATATCACATATTCCCCGGTGTCGGTGCCGTCGAATTCGACACTCTTGATGCCCTCATCCATGGTGCGTATCATCCCCTGCCAGAGGGACTTGGCGCAGCTCTCGTGGCCCACATGGTTCAGTAAGTCCACACAGGTGGACACGATGCCGTAGGGACTGAGCTGGGAGTAGTTGGTCAGCGAAAGCTTTGTCTGGAGCGGCTTGAACACGGCATGATTGTCGCCCAATTCGATGGCGCTGAAGAGATTGGCGCCTCCGGCCACACCACTGCAGATGGTGGCCAGGAAGGTGGCATAGCGATCGTTTGTTAAGATGGTGTCAAAGTAGGCGGGATCGGTGATTAGCCGTTTCACGCACTCGTCCAGATCCATCAGCTCCAGCTCGATGGAGCTGTATTTCTTCGCGTGCATTTCCTCTGCAATTTTCAACATTGTCCCATCGGTCACCGGCCACTCGTTGGCCTTGTGGATGAGGGTAACGCGACAGCGGCCGGCGCGGATTGCAGCCTTAAAGGCATACCGCAGATACTTTTCCACGTTATCATGGGTAACCACGCGCAGCGCCTCCACCACACCCTTGACCGGAGAGTACTCGAGCTCCGAGTAGTTGCCAATGTTGTTCTGAGCTATCACCTGGATGTCCACGTCGGGGAAGCGGCACTTGAAGCCGGGAAAGCTGCGCAGGCGCGTCATGAACACGTACAGATCCAGGTCGTTGCAGATCTTGAGGGATTTCTTCTTTGCCTCACCGTCGCACAAGATGTCCACATGGACCGCGGCATGGTTTCGCAGCACCGAATTGAAGTACTCCTCCTCCTGATCAGAGCCAATGCGCTGCAGCTCCACAGGCACCCGCGTGCTATGGAGCAGGGCTGTCACAAACTTGGCTCCCTGCTGGCCAATGATTGTGCTGCCGGTGAGCAGAGACACATGGGTGATGCCCCCATACTTGGACCGAGGCAGCGCGCTCACCGGCAGTGAACGCATTTGCCCCTTTGCCACGTTGGCCGTGAGCCCCGTGGTGATGAGATAGGGATCCGCGGACTTTGGAGGACCATCAGCAAGGTAGCGGCAGCAGCGAGCCAGCCTGGTATTTGGTGTAAGGCGACGCAGCATTCTGTAAATTTGGATTCTATTGGATAGCCGTATGAATATTTTTAAAATTAATGTGGCCCGAATAATGATAAATGTACCAAGGCTACCCCAGATCAGAAGTTGCTCGATAAGAAGAGATAAGACAACCCAAGCATTCAGCTCCTCACCCTGCACTGTTTATTCCTCGATTCCCACTAGATGTCCCAGCAGAGAGATTTGTCGATGCACGGACAACCGTCGATGCCGTAGCTGCCGATTCGGATATCCGTTTGGGTTTGCTTGTGCTGCGGACCGGGCACCTTGAAGGCATTCACCTGGAAGTACTTCTCGGGCAGATAGTAGGTCTTGTACTTTTTGCGCAGCTCCTTGTGCTCCTCACTCAGATACTTGGACAACTCGGGCGTGGCGTATCTGGCCTCCAGGCGGTACTGCTTCGGCCTCACCTGACGCAACGCCGGCACCAGCTGCAAGCGACTGTGTGGCAGGGTGGCCAATAGCTGCTCGTCCAGCTCCTCCGCCTGCTGCTCGCGCATCTTCTGGCAGGTCTCGCAGCGGCACTTGCCGCCATGGTAGCAGTAGCGTTTCTTCCCATCCTCGTCGACCAACAGCAGCGGCACGCACACTGGCTTGGGATTCGGCTGTGGCATGGTCTGAGTGCCATTGGACACTTGTTGCGGTTGCGAGTACATTTTGAGCGGCCAAGGGAGGGGTCAAGGAAACAAAATAGGGGGTTCGGGGATGTACAGGGGATTTGGATTGTGTGCTGACTGACAGAGTTCGAATGAGCAAACACTCCAACGGATACATGACAGTAAAGTCACGGCTGTAGAGCTGGAAGGGAGATTTCAAGACTGCTGCTTCGACTCTTTCCTCTTGCCAATGAGCACACCTCCACTCTCCGATTTGTCTGTATACTTTCGCACAAAAGTGTGCACCATTCGCAGCCACCCGGTCAGCGAGAGCGTAAACCATTTTCTTTGCATTTTCGCTGAATTTTTGATTTTAAAATTTGGAGTTTTTAATATAAAATGATTGTGTTCTGCGTTGGATAGTCTCAATAGTCACCCACACTACGAGCTATCATTAACTATCTCGCTCTTGCCTGCTTCAGAGCGGCACAGATTTATTTTCGTTCAATCTCAGAGAGTTCGATGCGAGCACACGATGTTGACCGCCGAAGCGTACAAATACTGTTGTACGGCGAACGATCGTTCAGTTATTCGACGAACACCACGCCGTTCGGTTACATACTGTATAATAGAGACCACGATGACGCTGATCGAAACGGAATCCCAATGGCTGAGCACTATCATACTGCCAAAGATTCTGGCGAGCGGTCGACTGCTGGATAACTACAGCGAGTCAAAGGCGGACACATTCCGGGTGGGGGACATCGATGTAAATGTGATTGGTCCCAAGGAGGCCTTCATGCTGACACTCTGCTATCGCACAACCATACGCTTTGAATACGATGGCGAGCAGTACGAGCGGAAAATGGTCGTTAAGGTAATAATATCGTAACTAAAATGTCGTCACGGATGACAATTGAGTGGCGCTACAGATCGTATTCACATCACATAACCGGTTCCAATCTGGGAGTACAGATTGTGTGATGGTGAAATAGGCAGCCAAAAATGTGAATAGATAAGATAAGATTAAGGGGTATTATTCTAATGTGTGTAGACACCAGCTCCTAACCTATCAAATATCAACAAACATTGATATGTTATCAGCGGCTTGTTATTGATCCATAGATCTACACTAAGGCGTTCGGTTAATCAAAAAAAATTACCTACTAATGATTAACAAGCAACTGGAAACCATGACAGTATCGTTTTTTGGTAGCAATGATGATTTTAAATTCGATTTTTTGATTGCAGAAAACACCCATGGTTCCCCCAGATGTCTACGAATCCATTCAGTTTGGAGATCTTTTTGGCAATGAGATTGATTTCTATACGAAAATTCTGCCTCAGATACAAAAAGTAGCGGATGGAAAGTTTGCGGCCCCGAAGTATTACTACAGTGAACTAAATCCCTGTTCGGCAGTGGTCATTCTCAGTGACTTTGCTGAGAATGGCTGGAGGGTGACCAAAGACAGGGTTGGCCTTAGCCTAGAGCATGCCCGAGTGGCAGTGAAGTACTTGGGAAAATTCCATGGCTTTACGTACGCCATCAAGCACAAGAATCTGGAGAAGTTCAAAGAGCTGACAGAAAACCTAAAGGAGTCCCGATATGCCAATGACACCATTCATCCCCAATACCTTGTGACGCTGAAGGCGAGCGTTCAGCGCGCTTTGCTGGCTGTGGCCACTTATCAGCCTCAAGTGGATGAGGATTTTGTGAAGAAGTTTGTTTTCTTAATCTCCGATTCTGTAAAATATGGACGCCAGCGTGTGGCGCCCAGGGAGCCGCTGGCCACTCTCTGCCACGGTGACTATGTGCGGAACAATGTGGCCTACAAGTACGATGACAAGGAGGAGCCACAGGAAATCATGATGTTCGACTACCAGACGCTGCGTGTGTCCTCGCCCATGATCGATCTGTCCGTATTCCTCGCCATCTCTATCTATGCTGATGTGCGCTACACTCATTTCGATAGCATCTTCGATGACTATTGCACTGCTCTGTACGACAGCTACAGGAAGCACACGAAGGACGAGGTGCCAGAGTTTATGAAGTGAATACAAAAGCAACATGTATTCGGCATCTATTAATGTTTCTTGTTTGCTTTCTTTCCAGCCGGACGGAGCTTCTGAAGGAGTACATTCGCTTCCTGCCCTACAGTGTATCCATAACGTCCTGCTTCCTCTTTGAGCTCGTCGAACCGTCTGGCTTGTCGTCCGAGGAAATGTTCAAAAATGAAATGTCGGACGAGAAAGTCATTGAGCGCACCATGAAAACTGGAGGCGAGCTGGTTGATAGGGAAATTGCGAATCAGCTGAAGGAAATGTTCGAGTTGAGTCGAAAGTATAATGTTCCAATCGAGGATGGCATCGATGTGGATGCGTTGCCCAAGATCTAGTTATTTCAATTAAATACAGTTAATTATTAATATCAAAAAAAGCGATGATGTACATACCGTATATCGTATGTTTCGTGGTGGTTACGATCAAGCAGCTTCATTTCATCTCGCAGATCACGAACTTGATTCACCTAAAAGCGTACAAATACTGTTGTACGGCGAACGATCGTTCAGTTATTCCCCGAAAGCGACGACGATCGGTTACATTCTGAATAATAGAGAGACCACGATGACGCTGACTCAGACGGAGTCCCAATGGCTGCGCACTTTCATACTGCCAAAGATTCTGGCGAGCGGTCGACTGCTGGATAACTACAGCGAGTCAAAGGCGGACACATTCCGGGTGGGGGACATCGATGTAAATGTGATTGATCCCAAGGAGGCCTTCATGCTGACACTCTGCTATCGCACAACCATACGCTTTGAATACGATGGCCATCGATATGAGCGGATAATGGTCGTCAAGGTAATATCGTAGCCATAATTTTGTCATATCGTAGGCACGAAGTAGATAAAAATTAAGTGAGAGTAGCACGTATATTTGTGTTTACACATCGCGATAGCAGGTTGCTGTCTGTGGAGAAGGGTAAAAAAGCATTTTATGGATATGGACATTAATATTGCTGTTAATTCAACTAAAAACAGATATAAAGCAAGTCATGCGGAGGGGTTAATGCATCTTTTCTTATTATAGAAAACTCCCAGGATCCCACCGCAGATGTACAAGTCAATTCAGTTCGGATTTCTCTTTGGCAATGAAATCGAATTCTACACGAAAATTCTGCCCCAAATGCAAAAGGCGGGTGGAAGGTTTTCGGCTCCCAAGTATTACTACAGCGAACTGAATCCCTCATCGGCTATGGTCATTCTCAGTGACTTTGCTGAGGATGGCTGGAGGGTGACCAAAGACAGGGTGGGACTCAGCCTGGAGCATGCTCGGGTGGCAGTAAAGAATTTGGGCAAGTTCCATGGCTTTACGTACGCCATTAAGCACAAGAATCCGGAACAGTTTCAGAATATGGTCAAAAATCTCAGGGAAGCTCGATTTTCCAATGACAAAATGCATCCCGCCTTCCTGTTGAAGCAGAAGACAAGTGTGAGACGCGCTGCTCAGGCTGTGGTCACTTACCAGCCCCAAGTTGATGAGGATTTTGTGAAGAACTTCGGTCTGTTGACAGCCGATTACACAAAGTTTGGTCGCCAACGTTTGGCGCCCCGGGAGCCGCTGGCCACTCTCTGTCACGGTGACTATGTGCGGAATAATGTTGCCTACAAGTACGATGACAAGGAGGAGCCACTGGCAATCATGATGTTCGACTACCAGACGCTGCGGGTGTCCTCGCCCATGATAGATTTGTCCGTTTTCTTGGCCCTCTCCGTCTTTGCGGATGTGCGCTTCACACATTTCGATAGCATTTTCGACGACTACTGCTCGGCTCTGTACGACAGCTATAGGAAGCACACGAAGGACGAGGTGCCACAGTTTATGAAGTGGGTAGCCAAATGGCATCTAGTTGGATGCATACATTAATGCTTCTGGTTGGTTTTCTTTCCAGCCGAACGGAGCTTCTGAAGGAGTACATTCGCTTCCTGCCGTTTAGTACGTCCATCACGGCTTACTTCCTCTTCTCACTCGTTGAACCGTCTGGCTTATCGTCGGAGGAATTTATCAACCTCCAGGTGTCGGACGAGGAAATTATTGAGAAGACTATGACATCAGGCGGGGAAATAGTGGACCGGGAAATCGCTCATCAAATGAAGGAAATGTTTGAGTTGAGTCGAACATACAATGTCCCAATCGACGATGTGATGCCCAATATCCAATCAATTGTTATTATTTAACTCGATAAATATGTTCCAATTACTTAATTTTTTCGAATTATTTTGTCTAATTCCTCCATGCTTACGATTTTTGTTTTTCTCCGATTCCCTTTTAATCTCAGTTTCGCTCAACGAGCAGCTGTTGGTGGTGCTGCCAACTTGTTCTCTGTCACACATGTGAACGGAAAAACTAAAATAAAATGTTTCAACCATCTCGGCAGCAGATTCTCCGGCTATATAAACACCTTATCCGATACGGCAATCATCTGAAGTTAACGGACAAGAACTACTTTCTGGGGCGCGTGCGACACGAGTTCAGGGGCAGTCGCCAGTTGACAAGTCCCACGGAAATCGAGTTCAACTTCAAAGTACGTGCCGGTGTCGGGATAGCTATTTCATAACTAATTTCCATCTTTGCACAGCGTGGCGAGACACTGCTGAAGAAGGGACGCATACTGTAGGTATGATACGAGCCTTGGTTTCCCGGCTGGCACTCCCTCCGCTCATTGGGCGCAGCAAGTTCACTGCTAACTTGGATTACACGCACTACCCAAAGCTGGAAGAGTCGGAAATCGAAGAGACTTTCATGCGCGGCAGTGGGCCCGGGGGTCAGGCGGTGAACAAGACATCCAACTGCGTGTTCCTGCGACACCTGCCCACCAACATCACCATCAAGTGTCACACGCATCGACTGGCCTCCAAAAATCGAGTAGAGGCACGAAGGCTTCTCCTGGACAAGCTCGATGCGCATTTCAATGGGGAAAATTCGATTGCGGCACAGATCAAAGTACTGGAGCAAAGAAAGTCCACGGAGCGGCGACGACGGCAGGGCAAAATGCAGGAGATGAAAAAGAGCTGGCAAGAGAGGGAGCGTACAGATGGAGCAGAGGGACCCCCCAACGACAAATAAAAAGCCAAACAAAATTTGTATACTAAAACGCAATCTTTTCGGTTGACCTATTCGTGGGACATGGTAAGTGGAGCAACTACCAGCTAGAGAAATCCCCGAATCCGCCTGCAAGCTTCTTCCTCTTGGCTGCCTGGGATGCTAGGAGCGGGGATTCTGGTTTCTTGGGAGCGGCATTCAGTTTTAGGTACTTGCCAACGCCTTCCCTGTACACCTTGAGTGGTTCGTTGAGACGTTTCTGCTGTTCCGCCTTTTCGGCAGTCTCCTGTACGCTGGCCGCTTCATTCTCCCGCTCCTTGGCTAGCTGTGCGACGGCATCGGCAAAGGGATTAACAAAGACCTGGGCATTTTCAATTACAATATCCTCGATGGGTCTATCTTTGTTGTCCACTTCGATGTTTTCTATTTTTTGCAGCGTGTCAAGGCCGCCAACGACCTTGCCAAAGATGGTGTGCTTGCCATCGAGATGTTTGCAGGATCGATACGTGATGAAGCTGGTAGCAGAAGGAAAGAAAACTGAGCAATGAGTCGCATTCAATTGATTGTTCTACTCACAACTGTGAGCCATTTGTGTTGGGTCCTGAATTCGCCATGGACAGAACTCCCCGTCCCGTGTGCGTCAGATTTGGTTTGAATTCATCTTCGAACTTTTGGCCCCAGATGGATTCACCCCCCGAGCCGGTGCCTGTGGGATCTCCACCTTGAACCTGTAAAATACATTTGGTTATTCCTTGACTTTATATACACGTGGCGTGTACCCACGATAAAATTCCGAATGGATCGGTGGAACAGCACATTGTTGAAGTAGCCATCGGCGCAATGTTTGATGAAGTTGTCGCAGGCGCGCGGAATCTGATCGCAGTAGAGTTCAATGTTTAAGGGGCCAAAGTTGGTGTTTAGTCGCACATAGCCCTTTTGCTTCACCCGCTCGTATTTGACCAAATCATCGTCAATTATGGCCGCCTCAATCTGCGAGACAGGCATCATGGCTGTAGATGTGAAGCTGGCGGACACCGCACCGGTGGAATAATGAGCCGCATTGAATTTGTCTGCTGTGCGCTTGGAGGTGGAAGGTGCCTCTTCGGCAGGCTGGTAGTCCTTCTGCAGCTGTGCCAAGGTCTCTTTTGTTTCCAGATTCATGGTCTTAATGCGCCCGCTGGCCGGATCTTTGCGCTCCAGCAGCTCCTCCTCTGACAGCACACGCAAATTCTTGCGTATGTGATGGAAGGTGGATATATCGAACTTTTCCAGCTTCTGCGGATCCTGTATTGTGATGATATCCTTGCGCTGGAACGGTGTGTCATCCACCAAGTCCTTCCAGTTCTTGGTCTTTATATTCAGCTGATCAATGGCCTCCCAGCAGTAGACATTGCCCGTCGTGGCCACTGCCACAATGTGCGAATTCTTGGTGAAGGGCTTGAACAGCGCGGGGCAGTGGTAATCATCTGTGGCGTTCTTGTAGAAATTCAGCTTCACCAGCGACTTTGAGTCCATTTTCTGGCCTGTTATGGGATTGATCTTAAAGGTTTTCAAAAACTTCAGTATCGCTTCATACTCGAAGACATTGCCATTGAGGTCGCAGTAGGGCATCTCGTAGGGAGCCATGGTAATGGAGCAGTGCTCGTAGGGCAACCGCTTGAACTTCACATGGTCGTTCTCCGCGGATTCTGTTTTTTTGCCCCCGTACAGCTCGCTCCACTCCGTGTACGTCAAGTACCTGTGGATTGAGGTGTCAGATTGAGTGCTTTCCATGGCAATAATTCATGTTACTTACATTTTATCCTTTTGGTGCTGTCGCTTGCCCATTCTTGCTGATTTATTGCTATTTTAATGCAAACAAACGAAATACGAAAAATTGTTTACAATGCCGCAGTGGTGCTGCCAACTGTTGCGACAATTGATATCGATATTGATTAGTTGTGGTCATCGATTCGAACAGCTGATGGGGCCTGCCACCAAATGGAACAATACGTGGTTTGCCAGCCCTAGTTTAGGAAGGTTCAGTAAAATCAAACAAAGAAAGACGAACGAATTTTCCATTTTAGCTATACTATATAGACACCAAAGTGATATAAATAAGTTAGCCAATTGACCTTGGGCTTGGTGCATGATGTCAAGCCCAAATATCAACTACAGCTCCTTGGCCGAGGCGAATCCGTTTCGAGAGACCGAGCAACATGACGAAGCAACAACAAAAGCGGACGACGCAAAATCATTTACAGCTGCTGCGCATTTAGACCCCCTCAACGACCATGAGCCAGAGAACGAAGATACTCCACGCAACAGTGGCATCATGATACACATGGTGCCCGAGACGGGCCGGGCACGATGGAACCACATCGAGGACCTCGACTCGTTCTTCTCCCGCATGTACAACTACCAGCAGAAGCATGGCTTTCAGGTGATAATCCTGGATGAAGTGTTCCAGGTGCTGGAGTTTGGCTTTGTCGTCTGGCTGCTCACCTTTGTGACGTACTGCATCAGGCACGACGTGCTCTTCGGGGACGCCCTACCCCCCCCGAACCACACCAAAACCACACTCAGCGATGTGATCAGACCCACCGGGGAGTGCGTGACCCAAATTAGTTGGTTCGCCTACCTTGTCATATTCATAGCTGCCATCTACTTGGGCTTTCGGCTGCTCAAGATGATCTATCACATCACGCAGTACGCGGACATCAAGAAGTTCTACAACACGGCGCTGGGCATCGAGGACAGCGACCTGGACAACACCACATGGCACGAGGTGCAGCAGCGCATTCGCAAGGTGCAGGCCGAGCAGCATATGTGCATTGACAAGGAGTCTCTCACGGAGCTGGATATCTACCATCGTGTGCTGCGCTTCAAGAACTATCTGGTGGCCCTGATGAACAAGCAGCTGCTGCCTGTGCGCTTCCAACTGCCGTTTCTGGGCGAGATATGCTCCCTCAGTCGGGGCATGCTCTTCAACATTGACTTCATTCTGTTCCGTGGCCCCGGATCGCCCTTCCAGAACAACTGGCAGCTGCGGGACGAGTTTGCGGTGAGAAGCAACCAAACGGAGCTGGCCCAGCGCCTGTCCAAGCTGATACTGTGCGTGGCGCTCGTAAATCTTCTACTGGCGCCTGTGATCTTCATCTGGCAGCTGATCTACTTCAGTTTCTCCTACGCCAACATCCTGCGGAAGGAGCCGAGTGCGCTGGGACTGCGCACCTGGTCCAACTACGGACGTCTCTATCTGCGCCACTTCAACGAGCTGGATCACGAGCTCGATGCGAGACTGAATCGCGCCTACGAGTATGCGGACCGCTACCTCAGCTCCTTCTCCTCCCCGCTGGCCGCTGTGATAGCCCGCAATTTGCTGTTCGTGAGCGGAGGCCTTCTGCTCCTGATCCTGGCCTTTGGAATCTACGAGGAGCACGTCTTCCAGGTGGAGCATGTCCTCACCATCATAGCCGTTCTCACTGTCGTGGGCGTCGTCTGTCGCACGCTCATTCCCGACGAGAACATGATCTGGTGCCCCGAACAGCTGATGACTGCCATTCTCGCCCACGTCCATTACCTGCCAACGGAGTGGAAGCAGCACGCCCACACGGCACTGGTCCGCAATGAGTTCAGCAACTTTTTCCAGTTCAAGGCCGGCTACCTGCTTAGCGAGATCTTCAGTCCGTTCGTCACGCCCTTTGTCCTGATCCTCGTGTTCCGGCCCAAGGCCATGGAGATTGTCAAGTTCTTCAGAACGTTTACGGTTTCGGTGCGCGGTGTGGGCAATGTCTGCTCGTTCGCCCAGATGGATGTGCGCAAGCACGGCAATCCCGACTGGCAGCTGAACAGCGACCTGGAGGAGTTCGCCAAGCCGCAGCAGACGAGTCTGGTCGGTGGGAAGACAGAGATGTCGCTGGTCCGCTTCACGCTCAACAATCCCGAGTGGCAGATGCCCAAGGAGGCGTCGCTGTTCATCAAGGGCATACGGGAGCACGCCATCGAGGAGCTGGTGCAGGCCAAGACCTCGACCATCCATGAGAATCCGCTCACCCACAGCCTGATCTCATTTGGCACCATTGGCGAGGAGTACTGCTCCATTGCCAACTCTGTGCTGGCCGCCCAGCTGAGCCCCGCCCAGATGGATCTCTCCCAGTCCCTGCGCCCCGGAGGCTACCCCGTCGCTGGCAGCGATTTCCGCCAAATGCTGCAGCAGAATCTGACCGCCAGCGTGGGACCACTGGACAGCATGCGCCGGCTGCGGCTGAGCAAGGCTGAGGGCCGCCTCGAGGGACCTGCCGACACGCTCCTCTACAGCTTGTACGGCGTGGAGCCGCGTCTCTCCAAGAACCCCATGAGTGTGGGCGTGGCGGACATGTGCCTCAGCGCACTCTACCTGCACGAGCTGAGCCAGCAGAAGCGCAAGGCGCGCCAGTCGCGCATTGTTGAGATGGAGGACGAGCAGCCCGGGCCAAGCCATTGGCAAAGGCCACCAGGAGCAGGCGGTGCCGCCCCACAGCCGCCGGCTGCATCGAGCTCCCGCCATAACGTGATTACCTCAAAGGCTGCCGAGAGCACACCGCTGCTGGGTAGCATCCGCTCATAGCAGCGGCCCGTGTGGATCTAATAATCTACTTAGCGCTAAGAAAAACCCATTCTGCTATTAGTGATTAAAAGTAAGTTTTAAAGTCAGTG